GAAACAAAATGAAAGAAAGAAAGAAGGAAAGGAAAGAAAATGAAAAAGATAATTAAGAAAATGAAAGTCGTTATCTAGCGTTATTACTTGGATTTTTCCGATAGCCTTTAAAATATCGGTCACTGATATATGTATATATATTAGTAAAAATATTATCATCATTATTATTATTATTATTAATATTATTATTATTACTATTATTATTATTTCTATTATTATTATTATTGCTATTAATATAATATTCTTCTAATCGTCATCTTCATCGCATTTTATCGTCACGATAACAACGTCTACGATTAAATTCAATTCAATTTTATTGTCCTTGTGAGTTTTTTTCAAGAACTCTTTAACTTCAAAAGCGATCATCGATAATTCTAATTGTTGTTAATCCTTCCGCATATTTCATTTCCTTGTTCTTCGTATTTAATTGAGCTTCATCTCTTTCTTCCTGTAATCCTGATCAGTTTTATATTAAAAGGGATGGTGCAAATAATTTTAGTGCTAATGGTGAAAAAATATTGCAATGGAAAGAAAAGAAGATGATGATGATGATAATGATGATGATGATGATGATGATGGAAAAAAAAAGGAAACGAATCCTTCCGATAAATTTTCAAGCTCTACCTTCTCGCTCCTACCTCACTCCTCCCTTTGCTCCTGCAGAAACTTGTATAAATGTATGTGTGCGATAGCGCGTCGCGTAACGACGACACTCGAACGGAGAATAGAAATAAATAAATAAAATAAATAAATTGCTTAAATTGGTTTTCTAGAAAACCAAGCGTAAGATCTTGCGAAATGCTTAGAGAACAAATTGTAAGCTAACGTAATTATTATTAGACAAAAAAATAATGCTCCTCCGTTCGATCGATCCAAGGATCTTATAGATGAAGATTAATCTTTGAGATAGATTGATCAAAATTGATCCTTTCTTCGACGAAGGTACCGATAAAAAACGAATCGACGGTGTTATCGTTTAAGAACAAAATGCTTTTGTTGATCGAAGAAAAAGATTTATATATAAATATTATTATGTAGAGTAACATGATTCTTCCTCGAAGGTGTTAAAGCTTGAAAACTAAAGAAAGATGATGATGATGATGATGATGATGATAAAATAAAAGCAAACCAGAAGTGGAGTATGTAAATAATTAAATTGGAGTCACTGGCTGTGCTGTGTAATTGTTAATGGGCAATGTGATATATATATATATATATATATTATATATGCATATATATATGTATATATACATATGTATATGTATATAAATCTACGACCGCGGCTATACACATCCATATTCGTTCGAAGCATTGTTTCGTGATAGATCATTTCGAAAAAAATAAATCGTTTCTTACTTGATAATAATAATATCAAGGTTGACATATAAAAATGTAATTAACAAAATTGATGGATCTTACAAACGAATTGCTTCGATTCGAACAAACGATATCCTGGCATCGTCCAAAGAGACAATTTTAAATGAAAAATTGAAATGATAGAAAACGGAATGGAGAAAAATGAAACCATCTATATTTCGCCTAATTGCCAATAGTAAATACGCAAATATGTGCGTATCGTGTACGTGTACATAAATGACATATATTTATAATAGCAAGAGAGGACAACTTTTATGCGTTAAAGGCCATTTTAAAACCGGAATCTCCGATGTTCACGAATATAATGGAACTAAATCCGAGAAATAATAATAGTAATAATAATAATATAATAAATAAACAAACAAAAAATAGATGAAAAAAGAAGCAAGCACTTAAAGTGCCGTAGAAAAAGGAAAACGATCTTGCGAATTTAAATCGTATTTAATCGTGATGGAACGCGCGAACGGCCATCTAAATATATTTATCTATAAGTATATATTCCAATAATACATTATCCAAGTAATACAAAAGTATGATCGATGATGATAAAAAAAAAAGAAGAAAGGAAAAGGAAAAAAAACAAAGATAATACACGAATAATAACTTCGATGAAATGGAACGAAACGAAACATAATAATAATAATAAATATAATTAATAATAATAATAATAATAATAATAATAATAATAATAATAATAGTAAATAATAATAATAAGAAGAAGATATAAAAGATTAAAATCCAAGTTGCTTTGTATCGATAATAACTCGAGCCTGATCCAGATCGATCATTTTGATCTCGGCGAGTAAGAAAGGAAGAGAGACAAACAAATACAGACAGTTACACACATACCACCGTTGTGCGATCGATCGATCTCTAAGAGATCATTCTCCGCTATATAACCGCACTGCCATTATCTTGATAACGTTTTTTATAACAAAGTAAAAGCCGTACGAGTCTCGGCGCGAGTTCCAATATAAAAACGGAGAGAGAGTGTGAGAGAGAGAGAGAGAGAGCGAGCGAGATATTGTTTCTTTTTTTTTCATTTTATTTCTGTTGTGACTTTAGAATTTACGATTTAATCCGAAATGATGGAATTCGAGCGAGACGCGCTCGAGTAGGAGGACGAGAAATAACGAAATAGAACGAAAAAAAGGAAAAGGAAGGTGAGAGAAAGGTAGAGCGAGAAAGAGAGAGAGAGAGAGATAGATAGATAGAGAGAAAAAGATCTATATACATTTTTGCGATAAGACGAAGCTCCAGATAGTATCAGAGAGAGAGAGAGAGAGAGAGAGAGAGTTCATTCTGAAAAAGAAGTATAAATATAAAAGTTGCTGGCAACTTTTTTGAAAAGATGCGACGACGTAAAAAAAAGATTTATGCAATTCCTTTTTTTTCCATTATTATTATTACTATTATTATTATCACTACTATTATTATTATTACCATTATTACATTTGCTTCTTTGCGTAATTAGCGGAATGTAATTAGCGATAATGAAATATAGGTGTGCAGGTGCGCGCGCTTTACATCGCGTCTTCGATACACGCTGGAGCTGTCTTTGGGAAAAAAAAAAAGAAGAAATTAGAGAAATATATAATAAATAATAATTGAATGAAGAAAATCTTCTGTTTTTTCTTCTTTTTGTAATTATTCTTTTCTATCAACGCGTTTCGTCGTCGCGATCGATATAAAAATAAAAAAATAAACTTGGGAGACGATTTATATTGCGTGCGTAACGTTCGATAGAAAGAGAAAAGAAAAAAAAAAAAAAGAATATGAAGAATGATCGATTCGATTTCCGGCCTTTGAAAAAGGTTTCGAGAGAGATAAAAAATAGGTGAGAAGAAATTGGATGTATCTATGAATTCGTAGAAGATACGAGTCACCCTCTATAATAGACGCTTATTGGTGAAAAGCATTTCTTTTCTTTTGTTATTTCATTAAATCGAAAGAAAGAAAGAGAGAGGGAGAAAAAGAAATAGAATGCGTGTATTGTGAGAGAAAGTGTACGTATGTTTGTGTGATATCTACGACGATAAACGCTCATCCTTCAACAACTACATATATGCAATATAAAAATGAGTATATATATATATATATATATATAAATATATATATATATACAGAACAAAGCTGCGAGAACCATTTGTCCTAGTCCTAGTATTCGAACTCATCACCATAATTTATAACCGATTTTAATTTAAATTTAATAAAATGATGTTATAATATCTATATATATCATGTCCACTATATCATTTCTTTCTTTTTTTATTGTTATTATTATTATTAACACGTTCTTCCCTGTAAAGCTGCATTTGACTAACGCAAGCGACATTACCACGCAACGCGTACATAAAACGGTGGTAACGCTCCATGAAGTTTAATATATTTGTGAAAATTTGTGTATTTTAGTTTTCCGTTTCTCTACTGTGGAAAGATTTATTTGTTCGGTGTTTGTAAATATTTTCAAAATAATTTGTGCGACATAACAACAGGGGAAATAAATTTATTTCGCAATAAAAATATATGTTTGAAAATATTAAATAATAAATTTACGAAACGATAATATATTTATTTTTTCATGTTTTTCATTTATAGTTTCATGTACCGTTGTATTTTGTTGAACCCAAAGGGGAGACGTGAGGATGATTATTTGTTAGAACAATCACATCGGTAAATGTTGTCATCATTTTGGTAGTGGTCCCTTGCAATCTTACTATTACAATATTTTACATTTTCCTTATAGGGAAAATTGCAGCAACGTCCGCTTGTTGGATTTCCATTACCTGTTTTTAACTCGCGTCGTTTTCTACTTTACGACGAGGATAAATCTTCATTCCGCATGATATTATTATTTTTCTTATTACAAAAGCATCTAATAAGTTTTCTTTTGTATTACAAAATTGAAATTAAACTTTGTCGAATTATATAACACTCTTCCCTATTGAAATACAAAAAATTCCATTATCAAAATGGTGATACACGTGGCAGGGAATGTGTTAAAACTTACAATTAGATAGACGATTGGCCAAGATTTTCTTGTTCGATGTTTTTCATTTAATTTATATTTTCAAGATCTTAGCCAACGTGGAATGAAAGAGTGGTGGTAAACGGTAAAAAAACTTTAGAGTTGGTATATAATATTAAAATAATTTAATCGCATAATTTGTTGGAAACTAACATTCCAAACGATACTAAATAAATGTTCACATCGCAATGAGAATCATCCGCGTAAATATATATATATATATATATATATGTATACATTTATATGTATGATACAGTTCTCTTTGCAAATGATTGTATTTAATTGAGAAACGAAAAAGAAACAAGAAAAAAACAAAAAACAAAAAGTATTAAAATCAATATAATTTAGTCTAGTTTATAACGAGAGAAAAGCTATAATAATTCTTTAGTTTGCATTCGTACAAGAAAATATTGAATGTTTTATTCCTTTAGAGTAATCTTTTAGAACCCGATGAAGATTTTCTATTAGAATGATAAAATAATCCAAAAATCGAGATATATCGCTAGAGATTCAGGACGGGGACGCGAAAGCTCTTTTTTAGATATTTCTTTTAATAACACATGTCGCACGTAAAGGATAGAAAAAAAATAAATAAATTAATCATTACCTTTTTTTTTCGTTCTCTTACTTGTCTAAAAAGAATAAAAAATATAATTTAAATTGAATGAAATTCGAATGGGGTTGATGTATAAGTTTGGAAACGATGCGACTCGGTTGAACGAATGATAATGAAATAAAGAGGAAATGAATGACAAATAAAATATTCGGAAAGCGATAAACAAAATTATCATAATTGTTATTTCGAAAAGAGGTCGTCGTCGCGAGAGATTACAGTGAATTCCGCGGATTCGATTTTCCCTTGGTTTAGGTGGTGGGTGAGAGAGTTTGCGCGTCTCCGGGCGCACTGCGCGGGAGTTGCGAGGATGAAAGAGAATAGAGAGAATGTGTGTAAGAGAGAGAGAGAGAGAGAGAGAGAGAGAGAGAGAGAGAGAGAGAGAGAGAGAGAGAGAAAAAATGGGACGAGCCGCATCGGGTATTCGCGTGGTACGTTTTGCATTTCCGTTATACTATGACGGTAAATCGTACGGATTGGAATAAAGCGTGCCTAAAGAAGGTTGCTCGTCGATCATCCTTGGTCACGCATTTGGTGGAGGAGGAGCGTTGGTAGTATCGTCCTCGTTACTCAATCCAATTGGTTTAACTCGTAGATCGAATTGACGAGCTTTCTTAGCCCAAACTTCTCCGTCGGCTAGCACCCTAAAAAATAAAGAAAACAAAATAATAGGGAATAAAATGTTTGTAATAAATAACATTTTGTAATAGAGAACTATTGGAATAATTACAAGTAATAATTACCGTCTGGTATTGTCGCTAACTAGACTGTCGGGGGCACCGTAAACGGGTGGATTGGCATAAGGATCATAACCGAGAACGGAAAGCATCGGCGCAATGTCTGGCATTTCCCTGACTACATCATCAGGAATGTTGCCCACCCATTTGGTCAAAGCTTCTAGATTAACCGGCTTTATTATCTGATCCGACGATCTCTCGACCCTGCATAGTTGAACAAAAACGAGCATAGAAAAATGACGATTAGATGGAATTATTGGCAACGTTCGTATGATCATTTCGATGAAAAGCCAAAGACGTATTTCTTTTCTTTTTTCTTACTAACTTGCTCAGAGGCACGCCGCCAGGTTTGTTAATAAATTCCTCGTGATGCATAACCGATTCGTTCCAAGGCACGTCCAAAAAATGTAAAATCTTTTTCATCCATTGCCTCGGATGTAAAACCAGTTGTTCGTAAGGTACCATCAAACATCTCTCCGATCCAACCTCCCGACATTGTCCATACATTGCGGAAATAGCGTGATTCCATCTGATCAATGATTGACGATAAGACGTCAGATCGAACCCGGTGATGGTGACCTAGAAATGAGGAGAGAACGTTCGTTCGGGAAATTCATCGAGTAGGCGGAATAGAAAATTCTACGAGACTTTTTTTACCTTTCTCGAGATAATGGAGTGAACGGTGGCTCGACCATCTCGTACCATAAAAATAAACTTGGCGTTAGGGAAAAGCTCGAGCATGTAGGAGCCCATTTTCAGGGTTAAGGGGTCTTTGTTGCATAATCTAGCAGCTGGTTCCGCGTGACGAGCTATTATCTCCAAACAAAACGCCGCTATTGCGCTGTCTATCACCTACAAAGTAGTTTTATCTAAGTAATAAATAAGCTGAAATTGATTACATTCATCTAGTTTACTAAATAGATGCTTACATCTTTAGAGATACCAGCTTCCGTGAGCCGTAGATTTTCTCTCTCGGATTTGGACCAGTGCATCTTCATTTGCAGAATCCGCGGTATAACTCTGGTCTCTTGACCGCACCTAATGTTCGAATTAAGCTCTATCGGACGATGTCGTTGGTTGGCGTGCATTAGATATGCGCGATTGAAGGCGAAAATCGATTTACGACCGTCGGACGAGAGAGAAGGGTGGATAAATTAGAATAGGAATACGTTTACCATGCCACGTTTCACCTAGCACGGCAACTTACAACATTCTTACCTTGAAACGTGAGGTTTCAAGGAAGCAAGTAAATAGTGACAACTAACTAATCCTCTCTCTCTCTCTCTCTCTCCCTCTCTCTCTCTCTCTCTCTTTCTCCCTGATGAGATTTCGTAGAAAAAGAAAAAAACTTTGTTAAAAATGTATACTCGATTAATCGACTTTCAAAAGTCGTCGTTTTTTTTTCGAAAAAGAAAAGGGAGAAGCCAGAGAGGAGATTTATTTACCGATTTGTTAGGGGGAAAAACCGATGAGAGAAAATGATTGCTAACGACCGACTGCACTCACCTCACGTCGGGATGCGCATCGAGCATGGCGCGCATCAAGGTCGTGCCTGATCTCGGCACGCCTCCGATGAAAATAAGCGGCATGTATCGATCGTAGGTGTAGGTTTTATGGTCGAATGGTCCAATAACGTATTTCTGAAAGCGAACGGTAGAAACACATTCATATGCGTAAAAAAAAAAAAAAAAGCAACTTGGACTAGTAGTTGCATTTTCTTCCCTTCTCTTCTTTCTTTCCTTCCTTCCTCCCTTCCTTCCTTCCTTCATTCATTCATTCTTACCTCTTTCGCGAGCATCGTGACGGCAGGTCCGTTCTTATCGGTGCCGCAAATGATACCCAGCTGATAGAGAGCGAAAACGAAGAGCAGCGCAATGAAGCAGAGAATGGGCCCTTTTCGGCCGGCACGACTCGACAGCAACGACATGCCGCCTTTTCCTGCCGCCCTTTCCTGCCCCCTCCTCCTCCACCTTCTCCTTTGACCTTCTCTATCCAAAAGCGAATAAGATTCGCTCCGCTACTACTCGCTGCCCTCCAGCTGCCCTCCTGGAATAGCTCTTACTAGCTCATCGCACCTAAAGGGAAAACAAATTTGTTTTTCTATAAAAGAAAAAAATACAAGAAGAAGAAGGAAAAAAAGAAAATTAATAGCCAATTTGTAAATCATTGAATCCTGTAATACACGAAGAACCCATCGCGTCTTCCCTCGCCCAACATCTTCTTGATTGCTATGTATTAAGTTTTTATGATAGGTCAAAAGAAACGAAGATAATACGATGGTGTAAAAAGGGTAAAGGTAAATGAATAGTCGGGCCGATGGTCTATGAAATGCGATCAACAATTGGGACGCGCTAGCGAGGAAAAACAAAGAGGTTCAAAGAGAGAGAAAGGTTTATAGGAACGGAAGGAGGAACGGAAAAAAAGAACGACTAGGAAGGATCAAAGGAGGAGGTCAAAGGACGACGAAAGCCTCATCTCAATTCGACTTGAATCGGCTCGGCTCGTATCCGTTTTTCTCAACGATATGACTTTCAGGAAAAGAGCTTTCTATTTCGCGCCTGTCTCTCTATAACCTTTGACCTCTTCTCGTGCAAAAGCTACGCCCCTCCTCTTCGCTCTGCTATGTTCTACTCTGCTTCCCTCCTGGACCTGTTCGTCGTTTCAGTCCTTCCTACCCCACCACCCTTTGGCCCTTCTTCCACGGACTAGAGACGAGGACAATCGGCGCATATTGCTCTAGCCTTGGGCGAGACACGTCGTCGTCCTACTACTCCTCCTTCCCTACAAATTTTTATATTCATTTTTTTCTTTTTCTCTTTTTTTTTCTTTTCTTTTCTTTCCTTTTCTTTTCTTTTCTTTTCTATTCTTCACTCCTCTTACTTATCACACGTAAATCTTAACTCAACGTTCCTCTCTGATTTCGCTGATTTTGAATAAAACATAACTGTTGTGCAATATCACGGCTCCCTAGTGTTAAATATTTCAGAGGGATGATTAAATCAATTTGATTTGGATACGCGTCGATTCCTATTTCCGACCCAATTTACACCAATATCCCCGCGTCAAGGTTGCATTAAGGGTTCCTTTTCTTTTACGTATGATTGTTAAATATTTCAGAAGGATGGTTAAATCAATTAGATTTGATTACACGTTGATTCCATTACTAATTCAATTTACAACAGCATCTCTCGTCAAGGTTGTGTCAAAGCTGTGCATTAGTGTACCCGTTCGTTTACTTATCTCTTCTATAACATGGGTTTACTACTAACCGAGAATCTCTCACCTAAATCTTTGATTTTGAATAAAACAACTGTCGTGTCCTATATCCAGCTTTACCTACCAGTTAAATATTTCCTAAGGATCGTTAAATCAATTAGATTTGACTAGACGTCGATACTATTTCCGATCCAATTTACAAAAGTATCTCGTCAGGCAGGTACAGAGGAACAAAGAAAGAGAGAGAGAGAGAGAGAGAGAAGAGAAAGAGGTCCGACAGATCGATATTTACGATAGCACTTACTCCCTTGGCACCCAGACATATTGTTTCCTTTCGTTTCTGATTAAAGTACGAGTGTGTTTCGCTTCCATGAATCGCGCGCCATTCTCGAGCGTTCCCATTTCTGCGCATCGTGTTTATTATTAGAGGAGAGCTTTCATAGACCTTACAAAGAGAAAAAGAAAAAGAGAGAGAGAGAGAGAGAGATTCTCTTCTCGATATCGATGACGACCGATGTTCCCGTTCGTTATCCTCTCTTTCACTGTATGTTTTACTCTCCTCTCCTCTCCTCTCTATTCGATTTGCACTTGTATTACACTCGAATTATACGAATCACCAATTTCCATTGTCATTCTGATTACAAAGTGTTAACGCTTCGAAATAGTATCTATTTCTTGAAGATTTAATTAGGAACCTTTTCTTTTGATAAAACTACCTTCATCGTTAAATACAGGAAGGACTAGTTAGAGAGAGTGGTGGTTTTGATAAAACTACGCGACGAGCTTGCTTATCGATCTTCCCAGTAAAATTGAATTAAGCTCCCTGAGGAAAAATAAGGACTGGAATAAAAAAAAAAAAAAAAAAAGAGAAGAAGAAAAAAAAAGAATGAGAGGGAAAAGGGTAACAAGAGGATAGGGTGAAGAAGAAGGGAGGGAGATAGGTCGATTTGGTGGCTGAGTAAGTCGTTCTTTAGAGTGCAACCAACTAAGAAGAGAGAAGGCAAGACGAGTAGCAAGGCGGAATAGAAGCAGAGAACACGACGAGTAGGAGTAACAAGAGGCGAAGAGAAATTTTCGAGAGACGAGATTTAACCGATGGATTTATCGCATTAGCGATGAGACCTCTAATAAGATCGACACCGGAATTCTTATTAACCACTTTGTTACTGCTTTCTTACCCTGATCTATATACGTTTATAAAGAATATTACTATTTTCTCTTTACTTGTCCAATTATTTTTCTTCTCTTATTTTTTGCTTTTTTTGGAAGAGAACAAGGTTACATTTAGTCTTTCGCGAGAAAAATGTGTTTTTAAACATGTAAATCGTAATATAGAACTAAAGTATGCGCGCAACCTACATTAAATTTCACTTTGGATAAGAAAAGCGTGGGAAAGTTAGTCCGTTGTCTCTGGTAGATAATTTTGTAGAGAATTTTTGTTACGAGAATGGTGGTCGCGTGACGAATATCCTACACCGTATGATATCACACGCAAGATATATGCTCTGTAAAGTAGAGACGTGGAGATCCATTTACGTTGAAACACGCACACGTCGAAATACGTTTGTGTAATACGTGTATGTGTATATTTGAAATGTGTCCTTATCTATGTATGAATCTTCCTTGATATTAAAAACGTTCGTTTATTCGAGATTAGCTCACACAAATCGGCCTTCAATCGTAGCAAAATGTTTGTTCTAAACAGAAACGAATGGAGTTTGCGCACGAATATATTAGAGCACATGCATCATTTCATCCAAATAAATACAGCTGAATAAGCATGGATTATATTACTGACACTGCTACCGGAAATAATGACAATAGATTAGGTGAATAAAATTGCGAACATTTTTTGTTAATATTTATTTTTATTACAATTATTTGTATTGTACAACAATGAATAAAACTATGGAAGAAACGCAAGGATTTTGTTGAATCTGCAAATGGTTCTCATATCAGTTTCAACAAAAAAATAAAGAAAAAAGAAACACCAATGCTATAGTGAAACTTTTATCGATTAGTTCATAAGGATATTATATACCATTTAGGCTTTGTTATTAACAATATAAAAAGAAGTTATTCATGCCTAACTGAAACTAATTTTAACTCGGCTTACGTCAATTTAATAGTAAAAACGGCTCATATTTCGATAGGTATCGTTAAAAAAAGAAAAAGAAAGAGAAAAAGAAAAAGAAAAAAGGAAATACCTTATTCGACTTTCTATCGGGGTAAAATTTGTCGATCGATCGAGCATGATCGAGAGGAAGAAAAAGCCTTGAAAAATCACTGACGATTCGATCGAGCTCCGATCGGATGAGTAACTACGAAGTGAAATGGAATTCTGAGAGAAGGTAAAGGCTCGTCGACGTTATCGATTCAATCCGTACATATAATACATACGTACATAGATAAATAGATACACGGATACATTTATACATAGATACGAGTATATGTAGTGGTGAATGCGCATAGCTGTATTTACAGTCCATTGGAAACCATTGGACGCTTTCGATTAACATGTACACATGTATATATTCAGTATATACTTGACACTCGACGTGACCATCCTTATCAAATTTACAGCGACACGTGTCCCAAAAGGGTAAAAGGGGAACAAAAGGGATTATCGAATCGTTCGAACGTGATGATCGTTGATAATGTTTTCAAACGAATTAACATACACTTTTAGCACCGGACGATATTGATTAGTTCTTTTTCTCTCTGTTCGTTAGAAACATAACGAAAAATAATATTCAAATAAATTAAGGGAGGAAATACGTGTAAAACGATGTTTTCATTGTGATGTTCATGCATTTTTTTAACGCATTAAAAATTTATATGATTTATTAATATTATAGGGTCATTTTACACATATATTTGAGAACATATTCCGAAATTTGTAAAGATTTATCTCGAAAACTAGCGGAGATATCCGAAAAAAGTTAGACCGCTCCGTATTACATGCCACGCGTTCCGACACTTCAACGACGGACGCTCACTTAATCGCTTATAACTTTTGAACGAATAGCAAAAATTAACTTGAAATTTTACTTTTTATTTTATTTTTAAATAGTTTTACAAGCGAAAAAAATGGAATTTTTTGAAGCCTCTACACGTATTTCCCCCCTTAAGAGTTCTCTAACTGTTGATTTGCTACATTACCCATGTAGAATGAAATAATAAACCAAATGCAACGTTGTGCAATTCGACGCGGTAGGATAGTAAATGCGTGTTATGTAGATTTTATAAAATGGTAAAAGGGAGGCATGTAAATTAGGTAAGAAAAAACGAGGAAAAATGACGAACGGTAACTCTAACGATCTCGAATTCTTTCAATATTCAATCGACTTATGTTTTCATTGAGAAATATCTAAATTGCGTTTGATGATGTAATCGCTGAGGAATCCTGATAAACAAGTGTACCTCCAAGTTAGTATGATATATGCATAGGTAATTACGAGAGGTTTAATATAAGCCAACAAATAGATCAAATATATTTAATGCTTTAATTGTAATATATAAAAAAAAAACAAGAAAACAATCATAAAATCAATTTCTTCCACTGTCACAATTAACATCACATATTATACGTGTGTATATTTATTCGAATTATAATTTTAACGTGCACACATTTTTCCCAAACATCGGTAAGAACCTTTCAGGCAACTTAATGATTTAAACGTTGAGTTAACCGGTAATTTCATGCCGGTGTTAAAAAAAATGCATACATATATATATATATATATATACATAGAATATAACTCAGCAAAAACTTTCCGTGCAACCCGATATACACGTATACATTATATAAACTAGGAAATAATACAGGTTGAATGGGGAATCGTTGAAGCATTAGCGGTAGTTAGTATTACGTCACGAATCGAGGTTAAACGCGCACGCGACTTGTGTATACGGGCGGCATGGTCATCGACGCATCAGGTGTCAGTCACCTCTTTCTCGTGTACCCTTCTATGTGTGTGTGTGCGTGAGTGCGCGCGTTTATATACGTATGACGTTAATAGAAAAGAGAGGGAAAGACCGTTGTCTCTCACACGTGTGCGCGCACTGTATTTACGCGCGATCCCAAGAAAGGGTCGAACAGTTCAAGAAGAACAAGATGATGAAGAAGAAGAAGAAGAAGAAGAAGAGAGGAAAGAGTAAGACAAATAGAAAGAAAAGGAATAGTAAATGAAAAAGGATAGAAGAAGAAGACTGGTGTCATCACCTAACTTGGAATAAACCAGCAGCACAAGCCGTTCACTTACTCGTTTTTCTACGACGAGAATGCGCCTTCCTATCCGCCTGACCTTTCACTACTTTTTCCCTCTATTTTTTCTTCTTATTCTTCTTCTTATTTTTCTCCTTCTTCTTCTTCTTCTTCTTCTTCTTTGTAAATCTTCCCTTCCTTCCTCCTCCTTCTCCTTCACCTACTCTGCCATCTCCTCCCTCTCGTTATTATCGTTTCTCTTTTTATTTCTACGAGAATCAGATTCACTCACAAATGAATATGCACGCACGCATGCATCTACTCGCGCGCGATCATTCATACACACATACACGACCCAAAGAATACCACGCAGGACACACTAAGCACACACGAATATACACTCTCACGCCCAGTAGTCAAAAGTATTTCCCTTGTCTCCGTCTAGAGTGGAATAGAACGGACGACTTATTAAGATATGTTATTCTATCTTTGATAAACAGATAATTTTACACTTATTCCCTACGCAACGTCCGTCAACCTAAGCGCGCCGACGACTGCATACTACTGCACAATGCGAGATCTACCACGAGCAAAACTACAGCGCACGATTTACGCGGATCAGCTGCTATCACGATACTAGCGCCATTAACACACTTGTGCGCTTTTTATCAATCAATTACGACACCAACTCCATCTATTATACGATGCAACAAGGCGCATTTTTAAAGCTGCATTTTCTAACCTTTTCCACCCTTGGAATATCTGATATTTCGTATTTTATTGTATATTATATTTGTGTCTGCATTTTTTATAACGAAAAACACTTCATTTTAAGCGTATAACAACGTGGCAACATGATTGTCACAAAAACGTAATAATGTTGAAATTATGATTCTTGTAGTATCGTTCACGAGATGCTACTACTAGTGACGTACAACAAGAAAGTGCATTTCTATGACGACGAATTGTCGAGATATTTATTGTCCAATCAAAATTTAAATACGAAATAATGCAGTCACGTTTGAAAACTTGCTTTATAGATCCTACTTGCAACCTTCCAAACTAGATCAAGCAAGTGGAGAAACATTAGAATTATTAATAATATATTTATAGAATTAGCAATAATCTGATGCGATAGAATATAAGTTTCAAGTTATCTGGCATTGTTTAAAACAGAGAAAAATGACTACGATGGGCGAACCGCTTACCTTAGCACGAGGTAAAAATGACTATATAACAATTTGACAGCAACCGTCATGTAAATTAATATTATATTAATAGTAAACTATAAGAGTGCATTATTATTGATTATTTCTTTCATGCTACTTTTCCAGATGTTAAGAGATCCATTGAATTGCTTGACAAACTACAAAAAGGTAAAACGTTAAAGTTCTATTTCGAATTCAATATCTGATATACGTATTAATCTTAGATGAAAATTCTAGGTGGTGAGGTTCCAACAACGAAATTAGCTGCGTTACAAAAAGTATTGCAAAGCGATTTTCTTAGTGCCGTAAGAGAAGTATATGAGCACGTATACGAAACCGTAGATATTCAGGTATAATATTTTATATTTATTTTGATCAAAATTAAAGGAAATAAATATTGAAATGAAATAAAAATCATTTGTGCAAAGGGATCCCAAGATGTGCGTGCATCGGCTACCGCGAAAGCCACTGTCGCTGCATTTGCAGCTAGCGAAGGACACGCACATCCACGAGTTGTAGAATTACCGAAAACTGAGGAGGGTCTTGGGTTTAATGTAATGGGAGGAAAGGAACAAAATTCTCCTATTTATATTTCACGAATTATTCCTGGTGGTGTCGCGGATAGACACGGTGGATTGAAACGTGGAGATCAGCTACTTTCCGTCAATGGTGTGGTTAGTAAAAACATTGTTTTGTTTTTTCGGAAATACTTGTTAGTTTTAACACGTTAAGCTCCAAGCCTCGTTTTTTGAGTTTATCGTTTAGACTACGACGATCTGTCAGTCGTAGAAAAAACAAAACATAAGAATGTCGGCCATCGATGACCGACACGGCCTGGACTAAAAATCTAAAGTCGGTCCATAGGGATCGGCATGGTGTTTAACGTGTTAAATTCATTAAAAACTGTAAGCTCGTCTTACCCGAAATAAATTTTATCAGTGCGTCGAAGGAGAGAATCACGAAAAGGCGGTAGAACTTTTAAAACAAGCTCAAAATTCAGTTAAGCTTGTTGTTCGTTACACTCCACGGGTTTTAGAAGAAATGGAATTGCGTTTCGATAAACAAAGAGCTGCACGTAGGCGTCAACACATTCAATAAAAAAACTGGAAGACTTAAATAGTTTTAATAATATTTCGCAATATCCATGTAAGTGTTCAAATATAATTTAATTATTAATTTAAAGATAAATAATAATAAAAAAAACATAAGAACGATTTATTTACTTTCATTTATTTCATATTCTTAAATTATAAGAATATAATATATATATGAAATGTTTATCTCGTGTATATGTATATGATATAAATATAATGAAAGAACATTAATCTCTCTATTTTTCGTATTATTTTTTAATAATAAAAATAAAGTGCAATTAAATTTGTATATATTTATTAAAAGCTCTATCGATTTGCGAAATTGTGAATTTAATTTGAATTTGGTGCTCAAAACCTGTTATGTCATATTGGTTAGGCGTAATGCAAGTAGAGCAGTCTTAACAGCAAGATGGCGCTGCGAAATGCAGTTCGATATGCAATCGAATTTTGATGTTAAAAATGTAAGAAAATGGCGAGAATGACGTGTACACCAGATGATCTGATTCAATGGGATTCTGCTGAAAATTGTTTGGCACCGTTAACAGATCTACAAAAAGATTGTTTGCAAAAATTAGAACAAGAATTGTCTTCTCTGGATATTACAACTAACGAAAATGCGAGTGAAATTGGTGAATCTTTGGATCAAGACAAATGTGATAAAATAACACAAATAGAACGTTGTCAAGATGTTTTAGAATATTATACTAAATTAGAGAGGGAATATATATCATCTGAAAATTTGAAATATATGTTATACTTGGATGATCTTAAAACTCGTCGCCAAGAATGCAGAGAACTTTGTGAATTGATTACGGATACCTTGGAAGATTTTTCTATTTTGTTTAAACAATACGCTGAAGTATCGGATAAAACATCATCCTTACATAATGCAAGCGAAGAACTGATCACCGATCAAAAGAGATTAAACTCTATGGTAGAGAGCATAGCAGAGAACGTAAAATATTTTAAAGAAGTAGACGTGATAATGGAAAAATTAGAGGCTTCTACATTATCTGTAAACAGCGATATGTTTTTTAATATAGTAGAGAAGGTAGATACTAATATGGATGCTTTACAGACAAACAATACTTTCAAAGAAAGTACCACTTATTTAGTCAAGTATAGACATTGCCAATTCAAGATTATAACTTTGATACAAAATTATATTTTCAATTTATTTTCAAGAACCACAGAAAGCATTTTAAATTTCAACGAAACTGAAGGCGTACAAGAAAACATAGATGCTGCTTTGGCATTATTTTATGGGAGATTTCAAACTATTGTTTCCAAAGTAAAACCTATCATAGATCAAGTGGAAACTAAATCTACTAAGCGACAAGAATATAATAATTTATTAGTAGAATGTCATCAATATTACTGGAGTCAAAGAGGTTTGGTATTGGGTCCTAGTATTCAGAAATCTTTATCTGCTATAAAAGAAAGATATAATGGAGATCATTGCAGTTTAGTCAGACATTCGTGTGCCTTGCTTTTACACGCGTCCGTCGACGAATATAGATTGTTTTATGAATTCTTTTCTAAGCCATCCATAGGCCTAACAACATTTTTAGAAAGTCTGTGTACCTCTTTATACGACACTGTAAGACCATTTATCATTCACATTAATCATTTAGAAACTCTAGCAGAAATCTGTTGTATTTTAAGGATAGAAATGTTAGACGAACACGTGCAAAATAACTTTGAGCCTTTAGAAGGCTTTGGAAATATTTGTTTGCAACTTTTACATGATGTGCAAGAGAGACTCGTTTTTCGCGCGCAATTGTATTTACAATCCGACGTATTAAATTATAGTCCATCGCCAGGAGATTTGGCGTATCCAGAAAAGTTAAAAATGATGGAAGACATAGCGGAATCCATAAGAGAAGAAACGCGTCAATCAAGAATGAAAAGAATATCTGTATCATCTAATGACAGTAATATTCTTGAGCCGGTGTCAAGAAATCATATTATAATGGATTCGATTTATCAAAAATCGCATATGGGTAGTTCACCGGCAGATTTACATGGAATGTGGTATCCAACGGTTCGTAGAACTTTGGTTTGTTTGTCAAGACTTTATCGATGCGTAGATAGATCAGTTTTTCAATCGCTAAGTCAAGAAGCTATATCCCTTTGCGTCCAAAGTATAGAGAAAGCGAGAAACGAAATAGAAATTCGAGCTTCTACATTGGATGCTGAATTATTTCAAATTAAACATTTATTGATATTACGTGAACAAATTGCCCCATTTCAAGTTGACTTCACCATCAAGGAATATAGTTTAGATTTTTCGAGAGTGAAGATGGCAGCTTTTGGATTGCTGGAAAAAAGTTCGAAACTTTTTACTTTGTCGAACAATGCCTTGTTGGAATTTCTATTAGAAGGTGCACCCAAAATGAAAGAGCAATTGATCGACTCTCGTAAAGAGGTTGATAATAATTTAAAACATGCTTGCCAAAGATTAATTCAACATGCCACATTTATATTGATCAATCCAGTTATGCAGTTGTTAGAAAAAGAAAAAGTACATTCTAATACTTCCAATGCAGATACTAAACAACAAATCTTTGGAAATGCGCAGGAAGTAAATACGGTAGTTGCTGACGTCTTACGAACGATTAAATTTAAGCTTCCAAACATTCAACAATCTATGCAATTATATTTAGCTAACAAAGAGACAGAATTTATTTTATTACGTCCAATAAAGAATAGCATTAGTGCTGCGTTTGCACAATTGTATCAATTGTTAAGCAAGTATTATAGTTCGGAGGAACTCTTATTGATTGCTTGTCCATTGCCGGAACAAATTTCTGTTATATTGAGTTCGTCCAGTCTTGTTCAAAATAAATCTATACAGTCGGAAAATAAACTCTCGCAAGATCAGGAAGAACTTTAGTAAGAGATTAACAAACGAAATTATTATATGAGTAATTGTAAATACATCAAAATATCTATGCAAAATTCTCTCCAATGATCTAATTCAATGCGCATGTAAATAAATTTTTCATTGCACCTTTGACCGAAAAAGGTCTAGTATTTAAAGTGCAATATGAAATAAAATAAATGTATATCAAAGGTTTTATATGTAAATAGATTTATGTGGACTAAACTCTAGTATAATTTTTCTACTAATTATTGTATGAAGCAACATAAAGTACTATAAAACAAAATATAAATTTATATAAATTAATATGTATCACGTTTACTTTCTTCTAATTATCGTAAATTTATTAATTTCGTATATTTTTTTATAGATAATGATTAGAATTACTTAATATTTAAGAATATATATATATATATATAAAACTTACTGTTAAATACAAACGCGATATGTATAAAATTTAGAATATTGGTTTCCTCAGATGACGTCAGGTGGCGCTGTCAACAAAACAATTACCTCATATCTTTCTCAATCTTCAAGACAACAATTCGCATAAACATACTTGCATATATTAATTAATCGATAACACGTAATTCTCTTTATAAATAGATCATCCAGTGTTTAATAAACGTTTCCATTTAAACTTTAACCTTGCATACAAAAATAAGTGATTAGTATCTATTAATTAGTGAGTGACGAGCAATATTAGAAATTAATAATTTTAGACATTGGCGGTAAATTTGAAATTCTTGTTCAAATAATAGATTTCGTCGTGAACACATGATAATATTATTGAAGTAAATTACCGCAATAAATCATATATTTATATATATATATCCGGAAGGTTCATTTAAAAACTATGAAATAAATTCTTTTCGTTTTTTAGACAAATTTTCATCTAGTAAGAAAGGTCGGCACTGCGCAAACGCCTAAAATTACGCGCTGGAAGAGTCAACGTGCGTACAATTCTTCTTTCCTTGTTGATAAACACTAAGAACAATAAACCGATAGTGGTGTTCGACGATCGACTGCATTATTCATCGTCGATCTTAAGTAGTAAAGAGAATATTTATAATAGTGGCGTCAATTAAAAGAACGACAAAACGACGGCGTGTCAAGGAAAAGGCGACGTCGAGCGTGACGTTGAGGTTATGGATAATTTCGTGAAAATCGAAAAAATAGGGGAAGGGACGTATGGGGTGGTATATAAAGCGAAGGATAAGCTGACCGGCAAATTGGTGGCGCTCAAGAAGATTCGCTTGGAGACGTATGTTTTTTATTATCATTTTTATTTTCTAACGCACACTTAAGTTTTTCCCCCGATTGTTTTTATTTTATGCAGGGATGATTTATATATGAAAATAATGGAATGCTCGTAACTCTTAATAATTTATTCTTACTCCGTCCATCGGGAAAAACTTAGTTTCGCCGGGTGTTGAAAGCTTCGTTTGAGATCGTTCAACAAAATATAAAATATAATAATAATTTGATTATTTCTCATTAGATCTTAACAACAAGGTTTCTCAATTAATCCATTAGCTAATAATACACTGTTCTATTTAATGCTCATATATGGAAATTATTCGTGCTAACACAAACAAAGCGATGCTTTTTGGTTGATTCTTTTCTATGAGAAATAAATATATATGTAAAAATCTTTGAATCGACTGGTTTATGTAAAAGAATAAAATCTTTCTATTAATAGAAATATTCCACAATCGATTCCTAATCCCCATTGAAATTAAATATTACTTGTCGTGTAATTTGTTTGTCGTAGTCTTTATTAATGTTATTTTTATGTTGAATCAAGGAACGCTGTGTTATGTAAAGTCAATCTATATATATATATATTATGTAAAGAAGCTAACACAAGCTAAAGCAGCACTTATATGATTTCTTAAGCAGTTCGCTTCAATGGTATACGAGCTATCCAGTCTTCAATAAATTTCTTATGTTTGCCTCGCAAGACCATCATTATCATGCATCTTAAAAAGTTATCTTTCAGACTCTCAACCGACTTCATATTGACAAGTCTTTTGCTTATCCGCATTGCTAACATACATGCTAACTTGCACATTGGGGTCAGCTGAATCTGGAGGGGCCACGTTACACTATATTGTCGTAGCACCACATTATTCAGCTTGTTCCATTGTGTTATGCTCGCCTGATTTTAATTTTTTGTCTTCTTATTAATACGTTATAACTGCCACTGCTAGAAAATGGGTTACTATATTATAGGCCAATATATTGGATATTCTCCAACTGTGAATGTGTATTACTTATTGAATTCTATACAAATAAAATTAATCATGCAATTTTCTTTTCTTTTTTTCTTCTTTTTTTCTATTCATTTAATCATGCGGTATGAATTTCAATTAGGGAAAGCGAAGGGGTGCCATCAACTGCTATAAGAGAAATTTCGCTCTTGAGGGAACTTGCGCATCCAAACATTGTGCAGTTGTTTGATGTTGTCGATGGTGATAAACATTTATATCTTGTGTTTGAGTTTCTCCAACAGGATCTTAAGAAATTATTAGATTCTGTTAAAAGTGGTTTGGATCAAGCGCTTGTTAAGGTAGGGGATTTATTTAATTGTAATATTATTTAATTGTAATATTAAAATTCAATAACTTGGTATGTTAAAGAAAGAATGTAATATATAATACACATGGTATGTGTGTCAGTATATATATGCATCTACAAGAAGGTTTTAGAAAAGATTGCGAAAAGAATATGTAGAGTATATGTAACATAAAAGAGATATTTATTTTCAGAGTTACCTCTATCAGTTACTAAAGGGGATTTCCTTTTGTCATTTAAATCGTATATTGCACAGAGACTTAAAACCTCAAAATCTGTTAATTGATCGCGAAGGATACATTAAATTAGCCGACTTTGGTTTAGCTAGAACTTTTTTGATTCCTGTGAGAACTTACACGCATGAAGTAGTGACACTCTGGTACCGTGCACCGGAGATACTCTTAGGAACTAAATTATATTCGAGTGCTGTGGATATATGGAGCCTTGGCTGTATTTTTGCAGAAATGGTTTGTAAGCTCATGGGATTAATAATAAACAGTACAATACAGGAATGTAATTCTTTGCGTGTTTTAATTGTTATCTTCTTTCGTTTTGATTCTTTTCTTTTCTTCTTCCGTTTGTTTTCATTTTGTTTCTTACAGGCTACAAGAAGAGCGCTCTTCCCAGGTGATTCCGAGATAGATCAATTGTTTAAAATATTTCATTTGCTTGGAACACCAGATGAAAGTATCTGGCCAGGTGTAACACAGCTTCGTGATTACAAATCAATGTTTCCAAGATGGGAGCCGACTGATTTGGATGAAGCTGTACCTACTTTAGATGCAGAAGCCAAAGATTTACTCATGGTTTGTATTGAACGAGACGTCGAGCTTCGACAACTGTTGTACCATTTATTATAATATGTTTTTATATTGACCACAGAAACTCTTGATATATGATCCTAACGAAAGGATAACAGCTAGGAAAGGTTTGAATCATTCGTATTTTTCTGATGTTAAATTAGTACCACCGCCTTTGCCAAAGAAAAAGTGACATAGATTTACGATACTACAACCAACAGGATATCATATTTTCATTTTAGGATATATCATAACGTTTAAAATAAGATTTAAGTTACAATATCCTAGAGATGTTTTATTAAGGAGACGGTGTAATTTTGATATACGACAAAGTGTTCATTTAAATATATATTTGATACGATTTAAATTAAATAAACGATTTATATTCTGCTATGTCATATATTAATACGATTTTATTCGTCCTCCGTAAGATAATGAATGTAAGCCAACACAGTACAAATTAAGCACAAGAAAAAAAAACAAATCAGTAAAATCTACGTAATAATCGATTTATTATTTTACCGCACGTGCTTCGAAAGCGGGTTAATCCGCGCATTAATCGTTCGATGAAATATAAAGAAAAATTAGAACTCATTGAGCAACGCGAGTAGATTGTATCGAGGATTCGATCAATTTGGGTAAAATGAGTTTAGGAGATGTCTCCGAGACCGTGTTAATTTCCTGATGAACTGGTGAAGTTGCCAACTTAGGAAGACGCAACTCATTCGGCGACATCTTTCCCGGAGACGTTTTATTGATATTTTTTAATCGTAAATTATTCGGAGGACGAGGAGGAGTACTCGGTGGTTTCAAAGATTTGCCCGAGTCTTCCTTCATCGGACTTTTTTTCTCAGTGATATTTTTCTCGTTCCTACTATCTTCATTCTTTTCTAAATTTTGCGTTGCAGGACTATCTGCGTCTTTCGGTAGAATATTATTTTTATTAGACGTTGGTGACTTGGCCAGGCTGCTGCGAACAGCTTGTGCAGTAACTACTCGAGACGGTGATTTCACAGTGCGTCCTCGTGTTGGTGTCGATGGTGGTGGCTGTGGTAGCTCGCTACTCCTCGTTTCCGTTTCTTTTTTTTCCTCATCCGTTATCTGCTCCTCAGTACTTTGAACCTGAATATACAGGATGCTTGTTTAAAAATCAACTTCTTACTTAAGCGTCTGATCTTCATTGGCAATGGTTCATTTATATACTAGGATCATATGTATGCATGTATTCAAATCAATGAGTTAGTATTGTATTACGAGATATACGAGATTAGCGAATGTGCAAACTGACCTTGATATTACAGTGACGGTGAGTGCTCTGACGGTAGTTCGCAGCAGCCGGCGTGTGTTATATACGTGAGGGTGAGGATACACGCTGTGCTGATATATTTATGGATTATTCTTGCAATTTAACTAAATTCTTACTACGGCATGTTCGTTTAGAACCTATTAGGAATATAGTTTGAGGAAAAAGTTAAGGAAAATTTAGGGTAAACGCGTTATGAAATATTTTTACATCTATTCTCAGCTGTAGCGGTTGTTAGATTTGTTAGGATCGTTCTTTTTTCCCCCATTAACATGCACGAGTTCTACCCTTGTGCAATTTTAAATTTAATATTTTTTTTTTTTTAGGAGACTCTTGGTTTTTTATTATTTATGATCGGGATTGAATTTGGGTTGATAAATGAGAGAGAGACTGGTAATGTAAATTTAAAAACAAAAATATTATTGCGATATTCCAGCATGAACCTCCTGAAAAAGATATACCGGACACAGTCATTGCACAATTGCGCTCGTACGAAGTGGTAACTTGTGACAATTACGAGAACCTAAGATTAGTTTTTTCTTTCTGTTTTTCTTTTTTGCTTTACATTATTCTGTTTGTTTTTTTGTTCTTCTTTCCTTTTTTTTCCTTGTTATTGCGAAATATTCGGATGTTAAAATCGAACCGAGGTACACAGTAGTCAAGTATGGAAGCAATATAGTTATTAATGTGTTTGTAATAGTACATACATGTATTTTCTAGCGACGTGTAAATTGCATGAAACGTCATAAAGTGAAGACGACAAACAAGAGGCTTTTCGATTACCTCCCCCTTTTATTTTCTTTCTTTTTTTTTTCTACCCCTTTCCGTTTCGTACCGTTTTTCAATAATAGCATACTCTCTGACTCCTGATTTTCTCTTACCTATCGAGATAATTATTATTCTCTAGCGATAGATTAATTATTATACTGAATAAGTGCAACGAATAGCAATATAGTTTACGTATCTACAGTAACGATTACAAATATCTCGTACTCTCTAGATTATCATTTAGATACAATCCGAACCGAGTTCGATGTACCAAACGATTTCACAAAAATGAATCCTTCGTTTACAATATTATTATATCTCGTACACGCACCACGCTTCTTTCTTTTCTTTTTCGTATTCGAAATTGCGTATTTTCTCCATATTTCATCTTTCAATACTCACTATCAGACACTTTATTCTCTTTCTCTCTCGTGTGTTTCATTCTCTATAATAAACCGATTAAAGCGGTCTGATACGTGCGAATACTTGTATTATTATAGTCTTGTTTTCTCAGTGATTCGACTAATCCCGGAATAAAATCGACGATCGAAGTTTAACGTGAACTACAGATAATAATAATTAATAATTAATAGTAATATCATTAAATCGCTCTCATTCTAATACCTAATGATTTTTCTTCTATCATTAAATTTTTTTTCTTTTTATTTTTGTTAGCGAGCGATCAATTAAACTTAGGTCTACATCAATGATCGAACGAAACGTTACCTCTTACGTTCACGATTACATTAAAAAAAAGAAAACTTGTCACTATGTCGAACCATAAAAAATTAGAAAAAAGAAAACAATTATCTATACGTATATGTATGTTTTTTATTTTATTTTTTTAAATAAGAATCACACGAGGTCAATCAACCGCGCAATTGCAATTCTTCATTTCGGTTTGCGTGGGAAAACTTGGCTTTTAGTTTGATCGATCCGATGAAAAATACGAACAACAAGACGACGATCCTCGTTAAATATAATATTTTAACATTTCCGTATACAATTTTTGATGCTTCGCAGGTCGACCGTAAATTTCGTATATTTTTTTTCCTTTCATTTCTTTTCTTTACAAAAAAAGCCGTCGAAGTTAGCTTAAAAAAGAAAATGAACTGAAATCGTATTTTGTCGTTGGAATGGTGGTTCCCTTGTTAGCAGCGAGAATAAGACAAAGATGCAAATAACTCTCTCACGATGAAACTCGATACGAGAAATGGCAATACAACACGACGACGATGGAAAAATAAATGAATGACGAGAAAGATGTTAATTAAGCACGTTATGTCACTAGCATGGCATACGTACGGAATGCGGACGTTGCTGCATCATTTCTGTCTCTCTTTCTTTCTCTCTTTCCGTTTCTATCTGACCTCTATTCTCGATTTGCAAGTGCGTGAATGATTATAGAATAATGACAGTGCAGAATTTATCGCGAACGTAAACGTTTTATAGAATGTGTTGAAGGAATTTACCGAATACTTATCGATACCGAACTTGAAATCATTGATTTATTTCTGATAATCGATAGAACGTTGTTTAAAAATGAAAGATTTTGAAATAACAAACAGGTTTACCTTAATCGATATTAAATTAATGATTTTAACGATCGATATAGCATTATTTGTTGGATGTTAAAGTGAACATTTGCGTGTTGCAATGTGATGAACATATAATGTGGATACAAAATTGAGGCAAAAGAGAGAGAGAGAGAGAGAGAGAGAGAGAGAGAGAGAGAGAAAGAGAAAAGTTAGACAAAATTGTAGAGTAATCAATCAACAACCATTGCCGTGAATTATTAGAGTCACCATAAAACTCGTTTTCGACGAAAATCGGAATATTTCGATCGAAATGAGTTTAATCGTTAGTTGTTTATCACAAAATCGGCAGTGTTGAGATCGTACAGAAGAGAGAAGAAGAAAAAACAACAAAAAAAGATCTTCACGAGAGCATCGTACGAATGATTCTGCTGTGATCATTAGGAATGGTAGCTTAACAAGGTAAACGCTTGCTCAGTATCGGCTCAGCAAGGACTCTAAGAGTCCTTTTTTCTTTTTTTTAAAGGGGGATGGTATAATGATCCCACATTTGTTGGGATTCTCGTAGAAGTATCAGGAGGGGGGTAGGAGAGGTTGAGGACGAGGAAGGGGAAAAGGTAAAGGTGAGTTTAATATACGTAAAGTGACGAAGTTTTTCTAAGACCAGAATTTATCGGTCAAGTTTTGTTTTTTCACGAGAGAGAGAGAGAGAGCTAGCATTCCTGGTTGAGGTTCTCGTCCGAAGCTGGCAGGCCGTTCTTGCCGTCGGTGATCGCGCCGGAGGGTATTGGGCTCTGCGGGCACAAGACACGTTTCACAATTAGAGGAAGAAACCGAAAACCCTCCCACCGACAAAAAACTATTCTTCAAAACCATCGAGCAAGTTGTTCATTCCATTTCCATCCTTAGCAAATTTCGACAAAGTTTATCGTTAAGTAATTGTAGAGCTATTTTATCTTGATACGACATTTTTTTTCGCGTTAGTAGTTGGGTTATCGATATTTCAAAAATAAAAGTGCGCTGAAATAATACTTTAAAAAGACAACATGCAGCGCGCGAGTGGTGTAAAGCGAATAGTTTAGCTAGTGCGAATTTTGATTAAAGAAACAAAGTAAAAGCATCGATTCGTTTCGTACTAATAAAGAACTAATTAATCGATAAATCTGGATCTTATAAATTTATCGTTGTAAATTGTTCTTTAACGTGAAGGATTACACATAAATCGTACCTGTGAACCACTACCGCAAAGACTTTCAACATTCGAGCCTGTCTGTCTGAGATAATCCTTGTCGTTGAAGATCTTTTTGTCACCGCCACCTGGCTTATGTTTCACATTGTCCATAGATCCTATCTTGCTTTCGGCCTTGATATCAACTTTCTGCGTTTGTATCTGCAAATATAATTCTTTTGTTGTTAAATTAATCACATTCAAAATTAACGTTTCGTTTCTATTGTGATCGAAAAATGAAAAAGTTCAAGCAGCATAGAAAATGGATGCGTTTAGAGTCGAGGGTTTATTTGACTTGTTCACGAATAAGCTCTACTCTATCTACGGTATTAACAAAATAAAAATTGTCGTATTCTATAACCGTCAAAATAATATAAAACAAATATTGATAGTTGGGCTACTGTCGCAATACGGCGTAACATGTAATAAATTGTATAATAATAAAAAAATATAATTTTTGAATACTCTCTTTGATACATGCTTCGTCATGCTAGAGTTTCCTCCGATCAAACAATACTTTTACTTACATTGCTGGTTAATAAAATATACCTCTATATATCCAGCGAAATAGTATGCACGTGTTATGATCAGAAAACGACGATATGGCACGAATCCAAGTTTGTTAATAAATAATAAAAGAGCCCTATAATATTGTTTTTTTTTCTTTTCACGTAGCTGGATGAATTTTGATGATTATTTTATTATAAATTACGATTCGAATCGATGAATTTCGCATGTGATAAAATGATAAAACAGTAAAAAAAGCTCATTAGTTAGCTCATTCATTAGTGTTCAGCCGTGCCTTGGAAGATCTTACTTTCTCATATCATTTGAATTTAAAGTTGATAGTAACAATAAGATAATTCGACATACGGGGTGCTTGTACCGGATGACGAGAAAGAACCCAAATAGAGGAATAGATGCGGAAGAGACTTTGTATATATTTATTTAACTGACCATTACATACTTACGTCGTTATTCGTGTCCTGCGGTGTCTTTGGTGGCGTCGCCGATGACTGAACACCAAGAAATAACAATGACTTGTTAATTAATGACAAGTGGACGAACCGCATGCATACGGAAGAGAAAATGTAGAGATAGACGAAGATTCATGAACCGCTCCGAACGAATCTTTTTAGGGTCGTTAATTTTTCTTTAATTATATATTATTAAACCAAAATCAAATATCGCGGAAGTAAATTCTTATAGAGTTGCATATATAGAGTATATGTATATATATTGTATATTACATTCCGCATGCAACGTTTCATTCACGAATAAGTAAGTATACGTATTTTTTCATTTGAAGTCCTCCTTTTATTTCTTTTTCTTTCTGGTTGAACGAACGAAGCGAGCATTTTGTTATTCACTGTGACAAATATGAATGAAAGTAAATCAACGATCAATGATAATAATGCACGAATAATTCGAGCGTCTGAATTTTTGTTTCAATTGATCGGTTATTACTCGCTTCTTCCTTGATCTATCTATGAATCTGTGTTATATTACGAAAATAATAATGCATAAAAAACATTAGAGACACTAACGGTACTTTTCTAGATTATATTATAATTGAAAAAAATAAGTAAGTAAATGCATTAGAATTAAACACGAACATGCTGAAATCAATGTTAAAAATTCCTAATAATAATAAATATAATAAAGTCTCGTATTGTCAAGGATACAAGGCCAATAGAATTTGTTTCCGATGAAATATTAAAAAGAAATCTTTTACCTTGACACTTCCACCACCAGGTACGTGCTTGGCGTTATCTTTCGAGCCTACTTTTGGCTTAGCTTTGTCTTTAAAATCCAACTTGACTGTCTCGATCTTTTTATCACCGCCGCCAGGTTTATACGTTGCATTATCCAAAGAGCCCACTTTGGGTTTCGCGTTCCATTGAAGTTTTATTTGAGATATCTGAAATGAAAATTAGTATTCAACATAAAAAAGAACGAAAAGTTTGTAATCAAATCTTGGCAATTATTAGTTGCACGTTAATTCAATTGGCAAAAACTTCAAGATTAAACATTTATTTTCAGTCAATTATTGTATTTATAAATGAAAAGCTCACCTTTTTGTCTCCGCCACTGGGCGTGTATTTTTCGTTCTTCGCAGCGATCTTAGGTTGTGCCTTGCTAAAGTCCAACTTTCTGTTTTCTATTTTAACTTTTCCACCACCAGGTTTGTAACTGGCATTTTCTAATGAACCGATTTTCGATCGTACCGTTTTCAAATTCGGCGAAGGTGCTGCACCAACTTGGACTTTGTTCATCGGCACCTCTGTATCGTTAAACAAACACTCAATTGGGCTTATCGGATTATTTTGTTGATAGAAAAATGATGACTAAATTTACTCTTTTTTTCTTGACTTCCTGTCGATGACGGTGTCTCTGGAGTTTTTGGCAATGATTTGCTAGACTTGCTAGGCGATTTCGTCGGCGATCCAGCTGTCGATCTTTTGTCACTCTCTTTGGATTTCGACGGTGATTTTTTTGTTGGCGAATCTGCGACTCCATTCGTAGTCGGTGACTTTATAATAGATAAATAATTTATATATTACTTTTTCATTTTTGAATACTTGCAAATATTTGTATATACTTACTACGTTATGTTGGCTCAAATCGTTACTAGCACTGTCATTTTCCGTCTCTGCGAAAATAAATAAATGCGATGCATGCGTTAGATCAAATTTATGAATTTTTTGGCATAGCAAAAATCCGAAGCAAAATCACGTCGATGCCGGTAAGGATAAAATCAAAATATTCAATAAAATGAATTATAATACGAGTACAAGCGTATAAGAAGAGTGAGAAAAATAAGCGTATCTAATAAAAATTTCATTGCCGGTTCAATAATAAATAGCAAAACATTGAGAATCTCTTAGAAGAATAATCGGGGTGCAAGTAAGTAAACTTTGTTTTATGTTGCAATTGGCAAAACCTTTTTTTCGTTTCTCGCTGTGTAGTTTAACGGGTGTTTGCGCACGTCGTGGTTTTCCGGTAGGAGTTGTCGGTTTCGAAGTTTCTCGAGAAGAACTTTCCGTTTTTTCCTCCAGGCTTTCCTCCTTCTTGATAATCGAATCCTCGGCGAAGGTAGTTTTTTTCTTTTCACCCTCGCAAGGTTTTATACTGATCGCTGATTTTGGTGATTTCGGTGATTTCGGGGAACCAGGAGAAGACAGAGACCTTCTCTGTCCATTATCAAAACCTTTAACACTTTCTTGAGGCGACTTTGGTGGTGTAGCTAAGGATTCTGGTAGGGATAGTTTTTCCTGCATTTCCAAAGAAGGTGAACTCGCTGGTGCAGTCGGAGCCTGTACTTTCTCCGAAGTTGAATCTTTTGACAAAGCCGAGCTCGGTCTGCTGGGTTTTTCTAGATTTAAACTTTCCGATTTATTTTCCGCCTGAACGTCCACGACCGTCGGCGTCGAGGCTCTAGAAATGTCAGAGGATTTTGACGGAGTTTTCGAGTCCTGTTCGAGGTTTTGCATCGTTAAATTATTCGAAGGACTCGGAGTTAATTTTCTTTTATCATCCATTACGACATCGGCCGAGGGAGATGGCGCGGATCGTGAGGGTGACGTGGGAGAAGGGGAAGGAGATTTAGCAGGAGTTTTCGGTCTCTGTTCTACGGATTGAACAGTCGACGAATCGCTTAAAGCTTCCTTAGAATTGTCCTCCCCCTTCGTGACGTCCGGGGATGGAGACTTCGATGGTGTTTTTGATGCTTCCTCAGAATTCTTAATTGGCGTCGGAATATTCGAAGGACTTCCCACTGGAGGAGGAGGACTTTGTCGTTTGTTCTCTTTTATAATATCCGGTGACGGAGGAGACTTTGACGGTGTTCTTGGCATTTGATCTACGTTCTGTGGAGTTAAATTATTTGAAAGATTTTCCAAATTTCTTAATTTCTCTTCTATTTGATCTTTTTTACTCGGCGTGGAATCAGTTTTGTCATTCTGACCTGCAGAATGTACGGTTTGTGATTGAGGACTAGCGGAACGACTACTATCTTCTTTCGTAGTTAATTCATCGACTTTAATAGTATCCTTTTCAATTTTCTTTTCCTTCGATTCGTCTTTCGCTATTTCACTCTTACTTTCTTCATTAATTTTCATTTCAACGACCGAGGAATGTTCGTTTTTCATTTCATCAATTTTATCTTCCATTTTGCTCGATGCAGGTCTACTGCTAGAAGATTCCTTCTTTACTTCGTCTTTAACGTCACCAATTTGATCATTTTTAGTAGGAGCAGACTTATCCTCCTCGATGGAATCATTTTTATTGGACGTTTTATCTTCCGACTTGTCTAACGAAGATCTACTCGAAGTTTCTTTTTCTCCAGGCTGCTCGTTATCGTTTACAGGAACGATCATTCGTTCGGGTGATTTTCTCTCCGATTTAGTATCGATCGTAGCCGTTCCTGGCCGAGTTACTGATTTACTGCTATCCTCCATTTTTTGTTCTATTTTTGGAGATACCGAAGAGTCCGATAGGGATTCCTTGGTCCGGTCAGCGTTGCCACTTTTCTGCGGTGATTTGTCTTTATTGGGAGGTAAATTGTCAGCTGGGCGTGGCGACTTATCGGTGTCGGAAACCGTGCTACCATTTTGTCTAGGTGACTTTTCAGTATCCATCACAACGTCGTCATCGTCGTCATCGTTCTCCCCGCTGCCGCGAACGTCAGCTTTCTTTTTTTGAATCGAATTCTCTCGGACGAGATCGCTCTTCTCTTCGTCCAAGTCCGGCATTTTTTCTATGATTATACGAGGACGTACAGATTGGTTGTTCTCCTTATGGGATAATTGACACGGTCTTGCTGTGTTTAAGGACGGATCATTCCTCGGTCTTTGCGGCACCGAATTTTTAAGTGGCCTCGGTGAATTGAAACTTTGCGCTTGCGGTTGATTTGTGCTTGCCGATGCGGACGAATTCAAGATCCTTTGTTCCGTTCTCTGTTCGATGACGTTTCTTTGATAATTTGGCCTGGGCCCAACCGGTTGTGCAACCGGAGGTGGTCCTCCGCTCGGTGGTCCTCCGCTCGGTGGTCCTCCGCTCGGTGGATTGGCTATTCTGACTCCGGGGGGGGTCCCAGGAAATCTTGGACCTTGAGATATTGCTACTGGATTTTGTCTAGTTTGTATTTGCCTAGGCGAATGCACTTGGTTGTTTCCAGGAGGCCTCGGTGAAAGCCCGTGCGGTCGAAGTTGTACGAGTTGTTGTTGGCTTGATTTAGATTGGCCTATGGACGAATGTCTTTCTAAACCGTAAATAGGGTGTTGCGCTTGTTGTCCTGCAGGACGGTTACCTCCTATAGGGCCATTATTTACTGGATATCTTGGAAATCCAGTAGGAGTAACTTGGGCTCTTGCTTGAAAGCCTTGCGATAGAGGTGCACTCTGCTTTACCTACGAGAAAGAACGTTTCATCTCGCATTTACTTCAAACTCAAACTTCCCGATTGCTACTTTGGGAATGCAAACATCTGTTTGATATTCTTGGAACTCTCGCAACTTCCTCACCGATATATTTTTCCTAATGTTCCAAGTTTTTAAACTGATGTGCCAACTAGATTATGTTTATCTATAATTACGTAAATTAAATGTTCTTTCCTATTACGTTTCTTTCCGTTTTTATAGGTCGAATAAAAAAAAAAACAAATACAATTACTTCAACTTTGTAAAGAGGAAACAATTGACTACGTCTAATTACGTTGGAAATATCTCTAACGAGAATATGAACTTTGGAGAAATCTTAAGTCTTTTGAATATTGGGCTTTCGCATGTTCCACATCACGTACGTCGTGCGCGTATCCTTATGCAGTAAAGGGTAAACGCACCCCACGTATTCACTCAAACGTGCACGCTGCTCCTTAATCCGTAAGTTTGCCCTTCCTTCTTTCCTTTCGTATATTGTACAAGTCTGACGAATCTGCTCCCCCATTTTGAAGGCTTTGCTATTTTAGCATAACAATCGTCGGCAGTTGTGCTCCTAAATATTTCCTTTCTCTTTCTTTATTTTTCTCCCCACTAATAAGAACGAGTGTGGCGAACTTCTATTGTGCAGTCGCGTTTTTTGAAACGACTAAATAATTATGGGTTTTAATTTGGGACTATTACGAGATAAGTAAATTTCTAAATTGGTATAATATTCATGAAAAACGTGAAATAGTAAAAATTCAAATGTATTAAACCTACACAATCCTGTTCCTCGCATGTAATAGGATTTTATCTATTTATCGCTATAGATATCTGTTCATCATCCATCAACTATTTCGAAAGGATATTTTACACGGCATCGAGATCAGTAATTGGTTGTAAGTAAGAGAAAAGTGCAAGGGGGCAGGGTGTTCGGTCGTGCAAAGCGGAGAAATTGGGATGCGCGATATCGGCCCTGGGCTCATCGATCTCTCGATAATGCGAGACGACGGTGACGTCTCGAGAAACATTTCCACGGTACCTGCCACCGCTTGCTTAACTTTGCTTTCGTTATGGGATCGAACCACGAATAACTGTAGTCCAGATACACCACTATCGATATCCATCACGATTCCTAGAGACCTTTTAACTTGGCGTGACTCGAGAAAACCCTTTTCTTCAATGCCCACAACTATCTCGCATATTTTTTTCTATCTTTCGTTAATTCTTTTCATCTCGTTGGAACTACGAGATTGCCAAATTTATGTAAAACAAAAATAAAACGAACACGAATTACGATTATAAATGTCGAACTCTGAATAAATAACTGCAGCCGAGTTTTCTCATCTATGTGGGTTGCGATGAATGATTTTTGATACATTTTAATATTGCCGTTTGATTGTCTTTTTGTTTTTTATATCTGCTTACCGTGCTCGCACCGCGAATCAAAGCAGCATTGTTAGTCGTTGTTTCTTGCGGATCCATTGTTGTTCGTTCGTATTTCTGTTGTAATAGACACTTTTAGATCGATTTGTTCATCTTGTAGCTTCTGACAAAATGGTCCTCCATGGAACCTGTTGCGTATCAACAACAGTCACTCGATTTGACTGTGAATAGAGTCAACGTGCACGATACCAATAATGTGGCTACATCTTGAATCATGATTTTGTCGGTGTAGTGCAAAACAGGATATGGGTGTCCTGTTCGTGATATCGACAGTCTAACTTTTACCAGCGTGTATCAATATTACTATTTGAACTTTTCAGCTTCCTCTACTGAGAGGATTCTTCCAAGTATACTTTAGATTCAATTCTGTCAATGATTGTTTCTGAGGAATAACATTATTTTATTTTATAATGCCCCCTAATATCTCTTGGAAGATTCCTGTTCTTTCGTGTATCGACGAATCGCGCGTAGTAAGTTTCGTGCATAAAAGCTTGGACATTTAAATCTCGCAAGTATTGCGAATAATTCATAGTAATCAGGTACACGGTATACCCGACAGCTACAGGCGCCTACTTTAATATGTACCTACAATGCGTGTGCAACGAGGGTAACCTTCAATTATAAATTACCTCGCGCATTCTACGTGTCTTTTCTCATTATTACGTGCTTTTACGTTTACAAGGTTGTAGTGATCATGGGTATCAATTAAATACGATATTTACATGCTTTTCCTATTCCTTGGCTTTTTGTTGTTGTAGTAATGTAATATATTCATCATTTCGGATATAAATGATAATAAACTGACACCATTGATGAAGATGATATGTTACATTTATAAATTTCCATTTATAATGAATAATTAAGAGTTATGTAAGGGTCAAATAACGACGAAATTCGTTTATCGTCAATTATTGAACGAGATGATATTTATCATCGGAAAGTGCAGTCCGTACGGATAGCGTTTTGCATTTGAAAGTAGCCCCCGTACGATCGATAGAATAAATTTCAATAGTTTGAACCGTAGACTGTAGTACTCTTCCCCGAGGAATATGAAATTTTGCGGAATAATTAGGTGCGAGTTTTAGAACGCATTTCGAAAGATGCAATTTACAGTTAGACGGTAAACCTCGGAGGAGTCATTTTGCGGGAGCTTTAACATTGCTTGCTTGCATGATAAATAATGGTAAATATCGTTTGCGGCCTGTTAAACTGCCGCACGTTCTTAACAACTTACAAGAAACGGAAAGCAAAGACGGCTAAAGGGGTAAATGTAAACGGAGGAAGACACGCAAACCGTCATAACTGCCGAGGCACAATGAAAGATCGCGTTACCTACCGTCTTACTACCGGCGATTGACCTTGGCAAATACGAACACGTCCACCTAGTATCTTGGTATCCAACTTCGTGTTTCCGATTTAATATAATACTGAACACGATTTATGTATCTACAGGTATATATGTATATATATATATTAAACCATTCGTTCAGAAAAACATTGAACCTAGACGTGAGAAAAAATGTACCTAGGAAAAAAATTTCTAGCAGAACGATAATCCATTAATTGAAACGAAACTATGGACGCGAAGTACTTAGACGAGTAAAAATAATCGACGGATCTTGTTGTTAGGGTTGAACTCGGTAAAGTCACGTTCTATGTTAAAAAAAAAAAAAAAGAATAGCGTTCGATCGCGACAAGTGTTAACCTTCAGACGTTCTTGCTTTTTTATCGTCCTGATCCCTCGGCACCGCTGTTTTTTTTCCTTTCTTTTCTTCTTGCTTCATTATAATAGTCAGAGAATAAGAAATGAATTAAGTCAGTCCACGCACCTTTTCGATTCTTATCCTTTAACAGGGTGTATCGTTCACTTGGACGACTTCTGGGATCGAAATCTGCGAGGTGTGAGGTTCGTGCACATTCTATCGAGACTTAAACATTAGGATGATTCATAGGCGATTACGATTACGATTCGGTGAGACTGACAATTTTATCAGGAGACAACGATCGCGATCGTGCACGTTAATGAATCATAGAACGCTGATTTGCGTAATAACATTATTTTGATTTTCTTTATAATTTTCTAATTATTCCATTAATTGATTAAAATCATGGATTATTATTTTACAAAGGAAATTTTGTCATTGGATTCATTCGCAATTGGTCGATGTTATCTCAAAGTTTAATCGTAGATCCTATTCGCAGGATTACTATAATCACGTATGGACGAGCGTGAGGATTGTTTTCTCTTGGAACGAATATATTTTATCGTAGAAAGAGAATCGTACCAGCTTCAAAACTTCCGCCCTTATTTCCTTTGGAAAAGCAGAAACTAGCCATGGCCCTACTGCTCCGTCGGCATTATAGGCCAACTGCCCATTCCTCGAGTTATTGATCGCGCCCGTTGAGAGAGTGTGTGCGTTCAATTCCATCCTTTTTATGCACATCGATGGATGGATGTGACTACTAAGAAGACTCGTATGATTTCCTATCTAATATGGAAAATTAACGAGTTCGCGTGCTTTTTGCGAGGCTTCCAAGAAGAAAAATAAAAAAGAACAACCTATGAGAAAATAAATGGCATTAGCAATAATTCATTGGAACCGGTCAGAAATTAGCTCGGATAGATTGAAAGTCTACCCAGTGATCCTAATTAAAGGACTACCTGACTTTGTTTGATTAGGAAAGTGCAAGGAAACGATCGTGTGATGAATGATGACATTGAGTAAAAGGTTCTATCGATCTTGCCCAACGTTTATGGAAACACCTTAAACCGACAATTTACTTTGGTATCAATAGGAGGTATTTTCCTATCGTCTTAGATTTCCTAGGATTTGTAGCATTCTATTTTAAGAAATGGCAAAAAGTACGATTTGATTAGATACACTGTCGAAGATAATCGACTAGTGCACTATAGGGGATTAATTTCACTAGAGGAGACTCGCCTATTGCACTTTTGTGGCTTATTTCGAGCTAACCAAATCGATATACCCATTTGCGACGACATGTTGAGAAGTTACGACGTGTTAATATATGGGTTACAGAATTTACGATGACCTGCCTGTGATTTTTTATTCGTTTTCGCATATTCCAATCGACTTTGTCATCTTCCTCTTAGAAAAATTGGTCTTTTAATTTTGAGATCGTTAAAAGGAACGATTAGAAACCAGGATTGTTTTTAACGTTAATAAGAAATGACAACGCACAGGGGAATTACTTGGAATAAAAGTATGAGTTACTGTTGGTAACTGTATTGGCTTGTCTATGCTCGTCGAATGCGGGCGAGACTCTAATAACGTAGCACAATCGATATTTCAACTGTAAAAAGGAAGACAAATGAAGGAAGATAAGCGAACTGATGTTGTTCGACGCATCCAAACAGACGTATATTGCGGAACGTATTGTTCCGCAGTTGTTTACTGATTAGGCACAAAATTTAGGAACGAATATCATTTTTGCAATCGGAGAAAACGACCCAGTTTTGTTTTCTAGTAGCGAATTTTTGTCATGAATTCTTCTACAATTCATAACTTGTAGAAATTGTATCGAACGGGTAAAAATGTACGCGCAGATCGAGGGTAACGACAGATAAGGACGGAACTGTCAGTCCGTGTGCGGGTAGGTAGCGCAGTTTTATCGAGAAGGAACATCTTCGAATCACCTGCTGCGATGTTCTACAATGACGATGTGCTATTGTCACGTGGCTATGTTTATCGGATACCACATCGTTGTTTCCTGTATGTTAATCCATTAGCCTCGAGTTTATAACTTACGTTTATTGCAAATTTCACGTAGATAGAAAGAGTTATGTTGTTACTCTCATAACTGAAACTTTTAACAACAACGGAAGAAGATAAAATAGAAATAAAGTAAATTTGTACAAGTTTAACTATCTTGACGTAATCGATATAGTATCCATGCCTTTTGAAAAAAAAGAAAAAGTTACTCCATTATCGATCTTTGAAGATTCTAGCACGTTGCGCTTGTCCATTTTTATTTACCAACTATCGTTCTAATCTTTTATCTTATTTTCTCACGAAGCGTCATCTTCTCGCTAGCACAATGCCCTACGTTAGCCTAGCCTAGTCATGGAGTCTCGCTCTAAAGCTCTAACATCCGCTATTTTCTCATACCTTTCATTATTATTTTTTGTTTTTTTTTTTCTTTCCCCTCCGACTTATTCTTTTATCACGTTCTCGTCTGATATTTTATCCTCTAGTGTCATCGGCGGAACTGGCTCGTACAATAGGTCTTACCTTTCGCGAACGTGACTTCAACTTGGTATATTAATCGTTGACATCCTAAAGGTTTTCCCGACCAATGGAAAGAAATATTATGAGAATGTAGGTCAGCCTGGGTTTGTTATAGAACAAGTCTTGTATGATACGAAGTGTCAGTACAATTTAATGCATGTTTTTTGTTTTAACGAACTGTCACCTTAATGTCACCGCGAAGAATAATGAATGATTTGTTATTTTACTGAGAAATTAAAAGATCGAGAACATCGTCGATTGTTTTGTTTGTTCGTTAAACGTTTCTACGATAATTAAGTACAACTGCTACTGCGCGTGAATAAGTGTCGAAGCACTAAATACCTGTGTGCAAGTCGAGTTGGTGCGAGTGCTCGTCGATAAAACACCGACGATTGTCGAACAAGAAGAGAAGAAGAAGAAGAAGAAGAACTAATTTAACTATTGGTCCCTCAACTTGTTTAAAGAACAATCTTATTTTTCTAGGGACTCCTGGAGAGTATACTACGCAGCAGCGAGTAGTAAGAGTTGCATAAGAGCGGTCTTATCTCTTATTCAGCCATGACAGATACTAAAAAGTCGAACAGCAATTTTTACAATGACACGATTCGCGAACGTTTTTCTCGTTTTAACGATCACAACGATTCGTATTTTTGTAGAACAACTTGGTAGGTTGCTTACCTGGTCCCTCTTTTTCTCGAACGAACGACGACACGTAAATCGCGATTCGGTTTAAAGAAAGAAAAAAAAAATCATAAAAAATAATATCCACTTTGAAAACTCACGACATTAAAACAAGATTAATCTTTAGTAGGCCTCTGACCAACGACCTCATTCCACTCTGGTGCACGCTATACCCGGTACGA